CCGAGTTAGCATCCAGTTTGGAGAAGACTTTTGCATCACCAATCTGGGCCAACACCTGATCCACTGAAGGTAGGATGTGTCTCTCTCTTTTGACATATTTATTCAGCCTGGTTAGATCGACACAGATCCTGACTTTGTTCCCAGGCTTAGGTACTACCACCATTCCTGAACACCAATCAGTTGGCTCGTCGATCTTAGAGATGACACCCAAATCTTCCATCCTCTGTAACTCTTGTTTGATTCAGATCTCATTCAGACATAACAGCTGTATTGGATAAAGTGTCTAAAGTGAAAATTTTAAATCAAGATTGCACTTTTACCTACTGAATAAATATTCCAGTTCAAAAATGATAGGAAAGCAGTAGTTTTCAGATTTATGATTCTTTTAAAGTTTCTAAATTCTATTGTCAAACATTAATAGGGTTAAAATTCATTGTTGAGAGTTAGGTCTAATTAGCGGTAATTGATTTCTTTTGACCTGCAGCAACCACATAAAATATTTGTCTCTTGTGTAGATAATTTTTCTACCGGTGTTTTGTGCCTACAAGGTATCTCTAAATGAAAAAAACATGCACCATTTACCATCAGTGTCAGGTAGCTAGCTAAATGATGTACTCTTATCAATTACAGTCTGTAACAGACGCTCCTAGCTATCTGTTCACCAAACTTATTTCTTAATCAACACGAAACTCAACTGAGCTCAAAAACCAACTAACAAAACTAACTCACAACTAACACACAACTAACACACAACTAACACACAACTATATAGATCTTATAAATGTCCAGAAGGTTCTATAACATACAAGAATACTTTACATGATTGTTCTAGAATATACTTAAATACACACATAATATATAATTACAATAGTCCACAGAGAGTTCCGGATTCATTTAGAAACAACTTCTTACATTTCCTCCCTTCCCCTCTGGCACGAAGTGCTCTTCCTCTCCAATCTAGAAAGTGCATCTGCATTTGCATTTGCTAACCCTTTCCGATGTTGTATAGTGAAATTATATGGTTGCAGAATCAAACTCCATCTAGTCAATCTTGCATTCTTCTCTTTAAACTTGTGTAGCCATTGAAGAGCTCTATGATCCGTTTGAATAATAAAAGATCTCCCTATGGGATATGCACCGAAATGCTTGATGGCTAGAATAATAGCTAAGCACTCTTTTTCGACTGTCGAGTATGCTTGTTCTCTCGGGAGTAGCTTTTTACTAAAATAAGCAACTGGTCCCTCATCTAAATTCTCCTCTCCTTGACTAAGAATTGCACCAACTCCTACTCCTGATGCATCAGTTTGCAATATAAATGGTTGGTTGAAGTTCGGATTTTTCATTAATGGTGCTGTAGTTAATGCTGTTTTTAGCTTCTGAAATGCCAATTCTGCCTTCTCACTCCATATGACCCATTCAGGCAGCTTTTTCCTTGTCAATTCAGTCAAGGGTTCTGCTATCGAAGCATAATCCTGCACAAACCTACGGTAGTATCCAGTGATTCCAAGAAACGTCCTTACATCCTTCTTTGTCTGTGGTCTTACCATATTTATAATAGCTTCAATTTTTCTTCGTTCTGGTCTGACCCCTCCTTTGCCAATCTGATATCCAAGATATGTACACTCCCTTGCTCCAAATGTACACTTCTTTAGCTTGATTGTCAATCCTGCATCATCCAGTCTCTTTAAAACATCTGTTAACTGATTA